TTGGTTGGTCGGTTCTTGGTTGGTTGGTTGGCTGGTTGGTTGGTCGGTCGGTCGGTTGACTGGTTGGTTGACTGGTTGGTTGGTTGGCTGGTTGGTTGGTTGGTTGGTCGGTTGGTTGGTCGGTTGGTTGGTTGGCTGGTTGGTTGGCTGGTTGGTCGATCGGTCGGTCGGTCGGTTGGTTGGCTGGTTGGTTGGTTGGCTGGCTGGTTGGTTGGTTGACTGGTTGATTGGCTAGCCTTTTGATTGGTTGTTTATTTTATCTAATCATTCATTAATAAATTGGTTTAAAGTAGACGATTGTTTAATCTTTTAAAATTTTCTAATGTTAATTTTTAACATAATCATAATCATCATCACCAGCATCATCATCATCACCAGCATTTTCATCACCACCATCATCGTCATCACCATCATGATCAGGTTTATTGTTGTCTGGGCGCTCTCTCCATCTTAGATTGCCTGAACCTCGTGGAAGTGGATGAACTCGGATGGTGGCTCTGTGAGAGGCAGCTGATGTCCGGTGGTCTGAACGGTTAGTTGGTTGGGTGAATGAATGAATGAATGAATGAATGAATGAGTGAATGAAGGAATGGACGAGCGAGTGAATGAATTAGTGAGTGAATGAGTATGAGTGAAAAATGAATGAATGAATGATTGAAAGGGTGGATCATCGAATGAAAGATTTTATGATTGATAGTGTGATTGACTGAATGGGTAAAAGGCTTGTTTGTTGATTTGTTGATTGATTAATTGATTGATTGATTGATTGATTGACTGACTGACTGACTGACTGACTGACTGACTGACTGACTGACTGACTGACTGACTGACTGACTGACTGACTGACTGACTGACTGACTGACTGACTGACTGACTGACTGACTGACTGACTGACTGACTGACTGACTGACTGACTGACTGACTGACTGACTGACTGACTGATATGATTGGTTGGTAGGTCGACCCGAGAAAATGCCTGACGTATGTTACTCATGGTGGGTTGTGGCCTCCCTCAAGATGATTGACAGGCTGCACTGGATTGATAAGGTGATGATTGAGTTCTAATAACAATTTAATCAATCAATCAATTAATCAATTTAGATTCGCCATTAAAACAATTAACTAGTCATAATCCATTAATTAACCAATCAAAATTTACCGACCATACAATTACGACCCACCGATCGTTCAACCCGACCAGTTAAATTCCACCATCCATTCAATCCAACCAATCAAAATCTACCAACCTTTCAAAACCGACCAATCAAGAAAGCTCTGGTGAAATTCATCCTGGCATCGCAAGATGATGAGACCGGTGGCTTCGCCGATAGACCTGGTGACATGGTTAGTTGAGGATGGTGACGAAGACGATGATGATGATAATGGTGGTGATGACGATGTGGATGTAGATGACGATGATGTTGATGAAAATGATAGTATCAAAAATTTATTTTATTCAGTCAGAATTACAATTATTAACCATGAAACAGCCCGACCCATTTCACACGCTCTTTGGACTCGCTGGGCTCTCACTGTTGCAAGAGGATCATGACGATAATGAGGTCATGTCACAACCGGATAATGAGGTCATGTCACAACCAAATAATGAGGTCATGTCACAGCCAAATAATGAGGTCATGTCACAAAATAATGACGTCGAGTCACTATATAAAGAGGTCACGCAACCACAGCTGCCACCATCCCGGCAACATTCGCCACCGCGACAGAAACTGCAACATCCTCTGAATCAAATCAGATTTGAAGCCATTGATGAAGTGTTTTGCATGCCCAAGAAAGTTGTCGGTAGGTACTTCGTGAGACCTCAGCATTGTGGTACGACTAGTAAGGATTGTGGCGGCTGTAATGAATACACGAATGAGAAATGTGTTGATAGTTCGTTATTAATTAATTTAAATTAAAAGTTTGTCTAGCTAACTACTGATCGGATTGATGACTCATTAGGCTGAATTAATTAATTTTGTTATTTTTATTTGTTGTTTGAATGATGCTGTCCATCGCTATTTATGCGTGAAGTAAATCAATTTCACGATAACTTATTGTTGCTGTTCAATTTTAAGAGTTGGTCTCATTCGGTTCAGATGAAATTTTTATTTTATAAATGCCCTAAGAAGGATTTATACAAGTTATTTGGTAATTTAATTTTTTATTTTTGCTAATTGTTTAAGAAAAAAAACCTTCAACTGTTCAGAGTGCGAATAATAAATTAGTGGAGGACCAAGTCTACGTATTGCGTAAATCCATGTTGTGTCTGGTTAAGTTTTGGAGCCGTCCAAGGCGTCTGTTGCTTAATTCCAATGCTAGAATAATGGATACAATGTCGTTTGCGACTTTAGAGAGTTAAGAATAATTATAATATTATTATTCCAGGTATAATTTTTCTTATTATCCGTTGTAATTTCTCGGAAAATATAATGAATAAACGCTTGCGGCGAATGTTTTAAACGTGCTTTACGAAATTTTAGATCATCGGATAGGGTTTATCCAGTGTTCAATTTCTGTTCTACTACATCTGCCTCTTATGGCACGTACCCTATTTTAAAATTAGTATTCTAGTGGCAGTGCACGTACCCCATTTTAAAATTAGTATTCTAGTAGCAGGTACGCTATATGAAAAAAATATTTTTGTTTAATGGTATTAGCTCACATGTATATTTTATTTTTATGATAAACAGTGTTTCAATCTATATAGAATACATTGCTATATCCTATCTATATGTCTAATTGTAAGTACCTAATTTCAAACTCAGTGGTTCTTACACAGAGATATCTACTGAAACACTTTAATCCTTGTTATGTAATGTTATGTTATGTTATGTTGTGTTGTGTTGTGTTATGTTATGTTCAACTCAATTCCTACTTGCAATTCAACGGCTCAGTATTTAAATTAACTTTTAATCACTTATATTGACAACACAGGTTCAACGATTTCGGCATTTAAATAGATTTCATCCGAAAATGTGATAAAATTGTCTTTTTAATGAATCCAATCAGAATTATTTTTTGGATAGATTTATTTTACTTAGGTGATTTCATTCTTTTTTTAATTTAATTATTAGATTTTTAAAATTTATTCCGGCTTTGAAGTAATTTTTTGTACTGCCAGGTTAGTAAAATTTACTAGTTACTTACAAAATAATTAAATATCATATTATTAAGTAAAAACAAGACATTAATGCTGTCTTTTTGGGGTTTGTTATGTTCAGTTAGTAAGGATGTATAGATTTTTATTTTATATTCATTCAGAGAGGGAGAGAGAGAAAGAGTTCAAATCAAACCAAATGAATTTGTGTGTGTGTGTGATAATTTGATATGTGGCGTCATGGGCCTATATAATATATTATTTCACTATCAATCAAATAAAATAAATGATTTACATGACCATGAGTTGAGAAAGTTTAGAAAAAACATCTTAAATAGTAATAATAAATTTTCTTATAAATAAATAATATAATATTAAAGTATTATATAATAATATAACTATTAAAGTATTAAATAAATAATTAAATTAATTCACTTTTTCTTAGTGCATTTTTAATTCCTAATATTATTAATCTTAATTGTTGTGACATTGAAAATACCTTCATCTTTTTATATGTGGTTATTATTTCACTGAAAAAATCTCTGAAAAAAATGTTATCAGATAGGTAGATGAAAGAGAGGTCAGTGAGGTATCAAACTAAAAGTTTACCTATTTTATTCTACTTTACAGTGTAGAGTTTACACCATGCGAATGTACATTTTTAGGCGAAAGTTCCGAAGGATATTGAAATTGATTTTACTGCTGGGTATGACTAATGAATGAATTCATTTCTTGATCATCTTTTGGTTTAGTTTAGAATATTTTAATATTTATTCATTTAATCATTTGCTTGTTTGTTTGCTTGTGTGTGTGTATGTGTGAGTGTGTGTGTGTGTGCGTGTAGTTGCATTTTCAAGGATTATCTTATTTTCTTAACAAATCTTACACACACACAAACACATGCACAGTGATCTTAAGCTACATAATGCCATATCTGCTGAGATACATGAGGCAAGGAGTGTTTCAACACAAGGCATTGGATACTTCCATTGTATCAATCCAAGAGGAATGGTCTGACTATCATGATACTGCTACGCATGCCTTTCATGGTTAAATGATGATGATGTTGTGTGCGTGTGTGTGTGAGTGTGTGCGCGTGTGTGTTGTTGTTACTGTTTCTGTGTGCTTCATTTTGTATAACGTGTTGTACAATAGGTAGAGAACTAGTCTGAGTTTGAATATGCTTTTCCACAAACACACACACACACGTACACAAACACACACGTACACAAACAAATGCACAACGAACGACAACGTAAACAACCACACACACACAGTACACAAACACAGTACACACACACACACACACCACACCGACAGTCACAAGAGACACAGCCAGTGAAAGGAAGCGCCAGAGAAGCCGACCGAACAACTTCTACAACAAGTACTACCACCTGAACCTGGAGGAGATCGAGCGACAGCAGCAACGGCGTCAGCTTCGCCACCAACAGCAGCACCACCTCTCACCGCCGAGCCTTCAGAAGCAGCTCGACTACATCTCGCAATTCCTTTGGATCTCCATCGAGCCGTATGCCAATGAAAATGGTAACTTCTACATCAACGTGAACTTGAAGAACGCCGGAAATTCCACCATTGATAACTGCTGCTGGTCAATTTATTTTTATAGCACTAAGTTTATCGACGGAAGGGTCATGATGGATGTCAATGACCTTTTGACTGTCGAAGAAAAGATGGATATGAATAGGAGGAAGCACAACGTGGGGCTCGATAGTAATGATGCCGGGGGTGGTGCTGATACTGATGACAATAATAATAATAATAATAATAATAAAAAGAATAATAATAATATGAATAACGATGGTGATAATAATGGGAATGCTACTAATCATGGTATTGGGACGACTTTTGCCTCCATGATACAGGATGGAGGTTTGTATGTGTGTTTGTTTATTTGTTTGTGTCTGTGTGTTTGTGTATGTTTTGCATGTGTGTTTGTGTATGTACATTAACACTGACACACACACACACGTACACAAATACAAAAACGCACACATATACACATTCAAATATACACATGCACACATACAAAATGCACATACCAACACACACACACACCACCACCACCAAATTTTCATTCATTCAAAAGATCTCCTGGCGGGTTTCAAATCCTTCGACACCCGCCAATCCATCTTCATCACCCACGTCATGGGGTACACCTTCAAAATGATGCCCACCGAAAATTTTAGACCCCTCCGACCAAACGGTCAATTGAGGGTTAGGCTCGTCGGCACTGGTTGGCAGGTCTCCAGGAGTGAGTTCATCCCTAATTGGTTGGTTGGTTGATTGGCTGGTCGGTTTTTTCTCCCTCTCTCCATCATTCCATCATTTCTCTGTCTTATTTTTTCTCTACCTCTTTCTCTCTCTCTCTTTCTGCACATTGCTTCTCTTCTCTTTTGTTTGCTTTCCCTCTTTTTCTTACTTTCTTTCCCTTTCCTCTCTTTTCTCAACTCATCAGCTACTTTACGTTGAAAAACTGCTATTAAGAATTTATTGAAACTATTTGAACACTCAACATACACACGCACACACACACACACAAACACAAACACACGTCCTCACAGACATACCCGCTCAATTACCCTGCTAACACGCGCACATTCATCTACCCACACATGTCCACACACTTCTACAATCGCAGCCACACACTTCTACAGTCGCAGCCACACACAACCACACAAGGTATGTAGCCAACGACAACGACAACACGACAGTGGCGCGCGTCATCCAGTGCACTGCAGATGAGGATTTGAAGTTTGTTGACGGCTTCAAAAGACAGGCTTCCACCATCAGGTTCCAAGGAGATCTGTTCAGGCCTTTCACACTGGAGAAGAGGTTAGAGTAGCTAGCTAGTTGGTCCTATGTTGCTGTGACCCGGTTCAAATGCAAAGATATCCTTTTCTTTCCATTCATATTTATTTATATGCCTGCTTTGGAGCCAGGATGTATGTACTTTGTGATCTTTCAAAACAGTTGTCCATTACATTATTATAGAATGTTTTTTTTTGTCTGCCAAAACTATCTGCTTCATCTTTCTATATTATTTATTTGGTTTTGTTTGGTTGATTTGATTGGTTTGGTTTGATTTGGTTTGGTTTGATTTGAATTTATTTTGCAAAATACATTCAAAGTCTGTTACTGCTGTTACATATGAGTATTACAGTGTGACGAATTAATAATGCATCGTGCACTTACAAAGATGATGGTTGAAGAATATATAAATTTACTGTGATTAATTCACCATGACGATGTTGATTGATGATGATAATTATGATGAAGAAGATGATGTAAGTTGTTGGGTAAATATGCGATAGAATAATTAAATAATTATAACAATAGTTTTATTTAATTTATCTATTCATTCATTCGCTCATTCATTCCATTCATTCATTCACTCATTCACTCATTCATTCATTCATTCATTCATTCATTCATTCATTCATTCATCTATATCTTTATTAATTCACAAACTCACGCATACAGATATAAAATGCACGAGCCATTATACCCCGCCGCCTCTAAATCCGCATTGCCATTCGCTTCTCTGATACCAACGCCAATCACTCTGGAGTTTTCTGACGCGGGGAAGAGTGGCAACATGAACGATTATGACGTCAACAAAGTGTTGCTCCTTGATGTTAATAATTGGGTGATAACGTATTGCGAGGGCTTGTATGGTGAGGCTCTCTATTTGAAAGGTGATGGTGGGGTGGGGAGGTCGACGATGATGATGACGATGATGATGATGACGATGATGGTGACGATGACGATGGTGATGATGATGATGATTGTACTGCTGTTGACGATGACGATGATGATGGTGATGACGACGATGATGGTGATGATGATGATGATGACCGAAATGGTGGCGACTTTTTGAAAGCACGTTACGTCTTTCTCTTTTTCACTACCCGCCGTCCAGAAAAATTGAGGCTAAAATCCGAACTCGTTCTCGTCCCTGGCCAGAATGACGACACCGACCTCAACGGCGACACCGACCTCAACGGTGGCATCGGCCTCAACAACGACAAAAACAGCTACAACGTCGACTTCAGAAACAACAACAACAGCAACTCAACAACAACAGCAACAACAACAACAATCGACTCCTTCCTAAACAAGCCGCACCACATCAACCTACGCCTCCTAACCACCCACACCGACAAGGAATCTCTCCTACGGAAACTCCAAAACCGGAAGGACCCCCAGCCGACAAATTACGTCATCCAGAGCCAACATGGCTACCACCTGTCAATCAAACCCCTACCGGACCGGATCAACATTTACGGTTTTCTGCCGGTCGGTGTCTTCTACGGTGCCGTCAGTCTGACTAACATCCTCATCAGTGGCGATGATGACTATGTCAGGTTGGTTCTCTCTCAACACAACAACAACAACAACAACAATAATAATAATAACAACAATAATAATAATAATAACAACAATAATAACAACAATAATAACAATAATAAAAATAATAATGTGACTGGGCCTTCCAATGAAGATTTATTCGGTAAAAATGACGAAAAGGCTGCCGTAGTTATAGGCAAACTCGGACAATACCGCCTACACGAGTTAGTGAATTTCAAATTAGTACCGGTCTGCGAGGTCTACGATGCCCCAAGGTTCAAACACAGAGGTCTGATGATTGATGTGGCCAGAAATTTTCACCCTCTAGATACTATTATTGGAGTCATCGGTTAGTTCGTCTGTGTGTGTGTGTGTGTGCGTGCGTGCTTGTGTGTTTGTTTGTGTGTGTGTGTGTGTATGTATGTATGTGAGTGTGCGTGTTCGTTTTTGTGTGTGCGTGTGTGTTTTTTTTATTATTATTTGTAGTTAGTTGCATAGCGCTTTTGGATAAAAGAATTAATTAATTAATTAATTAATTAATGAACGAGCTAATGAATGAATGTATGTATGAATGAATGAAAAAGTAAATGAATGAGTGAGTGAATGAATTTATGAATACAAACGAACGAACGAACGAACAAATGATTAACTAATTCATTCATTCATTCATTCTTTCATTCATTCATTCATTCTTTCATTCATTCATTCTTTCATTCATTCATTCATTCAGTTATTCATTAATTATTCATTTAACTAATAGGTCAATTAATTTATCTATTAATTGGCCAATTAATTGACCAGACGCTATGGCTTCCTATAAGATGAACATCCTTCACATTCACCTCTCTGACGATGAAGGATGGAGGCTGGAGATCAAAGAACTGCCCGAATTAACTGAGGTTTGCTGAGTGAGTGAGTGAGTGAGTGAGTGAGTGAGTGAGTGGGTGAGTGAGTGAGTGAGTGAGTGAGTGAGTGAGTGGGTGAGTGAGTGAGTGAGTGAGTGAGTGAGTGAATAAATGAGTGAATAAATGAGTGAATAAATGAGTGAATGAGTGAGTGAATAAATGAATGAATGAGTGAGTGAATAAATGAATGAATTAATTAATTAATAAAAGGTTGTATAATTGATTAGATGAATTAAATGAATGAACAAATGAATAATCGGTCGGTTGTTGGTTTAACTGTTTGGTTGGGCTGGTCGATTGGTTGATGAATTTGTTAAAAATAGATTTACACTTGAATTAAAATAATAGATGAACAAAAAGCAAATAATTAAATCAAACAATTGAAATTAAACAATTTTTAACAAGAATAATTCAACCAATCAGATTGGGGGTAGGAGGTCACATGACTTAAGCGAAAGCCAATCGCTCATGTCTTTACTTGGCTCTGGACCTGCGAGTGAGTATTCACGATGACGACGATGATGATGATGATGATAGTTATGGTAATGATGATGATGATGCTGATGACGATGACTAATATGATGCATGACGGTGTACAATATGACCAGTCTAAACGCATGTAATGTTATTCTTGAGAGAACCATTTCATTCCCAATCTAGGCAACTCATCATCATCATCATCGTCATCATCATCGTCATCATCATCATCGTCGTCCAAGTGGAGCAAGCCAAATGATGGCTACTACACTGTGGAGCAGTTCCAGCAGCTGCTGAAGTATGCCAGCCGGCGTCATGTCACCATCATTCCAGAGTTCGACATGCCAGGTCACTCGCATGCTGCAATCGTCAGTATGATGGTCAGTTAGGAGGATGGTGATGTTGATGGTGATGGTGGTGATGATGAGGGTGATGGTGATAGTGATGATAATGAGGAGGAGGAAGAGGATGGTCAGTTAGGATGAGGATGGTGATGATGATGGTGGTGATGATGATGATGATGGTGATGATGGCGATAGTGATGATGAAGATGATGCTGTTGCTATTACCTCTGAGAATTACTAAAAAGTAAAATTGTAAACAAATCATCATCTTCATCACAACAACAACAACATCAACAGCAACAACTTCAACAACAACAGCAAAAATTTCAACAACAATTACATCAACAGCAACAACTTCAACAACAACAACAATATCAACACCAACAACATCAACAGCAACACTTTCAACAACAACATTGAATCAGGTTAGGTACGAGAGAGATAGACGAAAGCAAAAACTATACGAAAAACAACTGGCAGAGTTGAAGCAACAACAGCAACAACAACAGCAACATCACAACAACCACAACAACAACAACAAAAGCAACAACATCAACAATTTGAAACCTCCGAAACATGTTGATTACTTGCTGTCGGATCTTCATGACAGCTCAAAGTACCTCACGGGGCAGTTCTACAAAGTTTCAGCCATCAACCCGTGTCTGAAATCTACTTATAGATTTGTGTATAGGTTGTTGGTCAGTCTGAAAGAGATGTATAAGGTTGTTTGTTTGTTTGTTTGTTTGTTTGTTTGTTCGTTCGTTCGTTTGTTTGTTTGTTTGTTTGTATGTATGTATGTTTGTTTGTTTGTTTGTATGTGTGTATGTTTGTAAATTTGTTTGTTTGTATGTGTGTATGTTTGTAAATTTGTTTGTTTGTGTGTATGTTTGTAAATTTGTTTGTTTGTTTGTTTGTCTGGTTGGCTGGCTGGTTGGTTGCAACAAAAACAACAACAACAATTGCCATGATTACCAGGGCATAGCTCCCTTGAAATATTTCCACCTTGGGGGTGATGAGGTGCCCCAGATGGCCTACAAACATTCGCCCGCGTGCTGGAAGCTACTACAGAAGCTGCAAGCCATCGCCGACGAAGGCGACGTTTGTTAGTGCTGCCTGTGGTGGTGGTGGTTGTAGTAGTGGCGTTTGTTGTTGTGGTTGATTTGTTGTTTTTTTTTACTTAATTGACAATTTGTCAACCAATCAAATTAATTTATTAATCCACTGTTCAGCCACGTCATCCAATCAAAACAGTTTATTAACTTGCCACTTAATCATATCGACCAATCAAATCAATTTTCCGAACCATTAACCGATCATATCAACCAGTCAAATCAAATTTGACACAACCGACCAATTAATTTAATCAAACAATCAGCCAATTAACTCGCTAACCAATCACATTAACTCAAACAACCGACCGACCAATCAGTGATGAGGAGCCACCATTTGAAGGGCTACTTCGTCGAGAAAGTGGCGCGCATAGCCAAGAAACTAGAGCTCAATTTGATTGGCTGGGAGGACGCCTTCTCCACACCAATCAGACACGACAATAACAACAACAATAATAAGGATAATTATAACGAGAATGATAACGATAACGATAATTATTATAGTAAAATGTATAATAATAATAATAATAATAATAATAATAATAAAAAAATTGATGATGAAAATGACAAGCCCAACTACGTATACGGCGGTAAAAGGCATGCCGCCCGTGGTGGTGGTGGTGGTGATGACGTCACGAAATTCAAAATGGAGATCGTCTCGCAGTGCTATTATGAAGATTACGTAGGGGGCAGGGCGGACAAGCCCTATGAGCTGGCCAACAATGGAAAGAAGGTTGTGATGATGATGGTGATGGTGGTGGTGATGATGATGATGATGACGAAGGTGTTGATGATGACGATGATAGTGATAATAGTGATGTTGTTGATGATGATGATGATGATGATGATGTTGAGGATGATGATGATGTTGAGGATGATGATGATGATGATAATGTTGAGGATGATGATGATGATGACGTCGGTCAACTCGATGAAGGCAATAGAAGAAAATGGAATGGACATTTGTTTAAATTCTAGTTCACTTACGTGTAATTTTTAACAGTACCACAACTAATTGATGAAATGTAACTGGGTCACTTTAATGATGTAAGAACGCTGCAACCAATCAAATTGCAGGTCATACTCTCCCAGATTGGCTCGCTCTACCTGGACAACCCCCAGGAACCGGATCCGGAAGACTGGGGCCTACACTGGGCATCTAGGTTAACTTATACGTGACCTAGTTAATTTTGATTGGCTGTTCCGTTATGTCAATTTGTTCATGACCCGATTTTTAATTAGTTGTGATTGGCTGTTAAATTAATCTGTTTTATGAACTGATAAAACAGATTAATTTAAAACAGATTATCACAAAATAAACAAACTGACAAGCAAACAAACATACAAACAAACGGACAAACATACAAACAAACGGACAAACATACAAACAAACATACAAACGGACAAACATACAAACAAACATACAAACAAACATACAAAAAAACGGACAAACATACAAACAAACATACAAACAAACGGACAAACATACAAACAAACATACAAACAAACATACAAACAAACATACAAACAAACGGACAAACATACAAACAAACGGACAAACATACATACAAACAGACAAACAAACAGACAGACATACAAACAAACGGACAAACATACAAACAAACATACAAACAAACAGACAAACATACCGACAGACAAACAAACACACAGATACGTGAACACGAGAAAGATCTACCACTTCACACCCGTCAACATCTTCAATAGTATCAGTCAGAGTATGCTGGCCAGAGAT